ATTATTTTTAAAAACTTTGATAAGCTTTTTTTATATAACTGTATAAAATTTCTAATAAAGTATATTACATTGCCTTCTGTTTACATCCGTGCGCATTTTCAGGACAGATTAAGAACTGAGTATTAGTATAGATTAACACATATCATGTGACAACGAAGTTAGATCTGCTGGAATATGAGTAAAATCTAAGCTTTTACTTTTTAAGAGTTCGTTTATTGAAAGGAAAGAAAAAATACTTTACCAAGCAAGAAGTAAGAGGATTTAAATTATCACACACTCTGATCTGACTACTGAATATCTTTCTTCAAATTCTCATAAGTTTCTGAAGCAACGGACATTTTAGGCATAACAACATAACTTTTTTGCCAATATTATTTGGAAGCATGTAACTAGTAGGATTAAGGAAAGAGGGAACACAAAATTGGTATCAGTTATGTCCACCATTTTAATAACACAGTTTATTACTAGTGTCGGCAGGACACGGTTTAAGGAAAGCAGTGTTATAGTAAAGAATCATTAGTATTATTTTTTGAATATTGGTTTTATATCCATTAATCGAACAACCTTGTATTAGAATAAAGGAACACGGATTTGCAAACTGTTAATTACTGGCGTATTTTGTTAATTATTTGAGGTCTGGAACAGTTTGTTATAATTCCGACGGTTTATTCTTATCAACTTCAGCGGCAACTCGTGTGCACCTGACTTAAACGACGAATTTAGAGAACCATCTACCAGAGAGAAGGCTACCAATCAGCAAATCCCTTCGTCCGCTTCCACTAAGGTTTTATCTGATTCTTTGATGAGCCGCATGTTGGGATGGATGACCGGCTGTTTTATAATGCACCCACAGATGGGAGTGCAGTGTGTAATCAGTGATATGACATCTCAAACCTTGGACCTTTCGATACATAGCACATTTCACTAACTATTACGCCACGTGCTGCCAAGATTTATATCACATACGAAGAAATTTAGTTTTAGAGCTAATTTTTTAAATGTAGTCAACAAGGTTACATTAATAAATCAAGAAATTATTTATACTTGCTTTTGAAAGAAATATTTACATTAAAACTATGTATAATATGTATCGACATATTTTTATTTTAAATTTGAACACATCATTTTTGCAACATCCTTTAAAAGGATTTTGACCTCTCATTATTATTTGTGTGTAGCAGTGACGTATGTTCCTCGTTTACCGGCGGTAAACCAGCCTTGTAAGAATACCGTTTTAGTCAATATAAAAATATTTGTATCTCAGCCATTACTAGCACAAATATATATAATTAGTGCAGTTTTGAAAAAGCAGTAATACAAGATGTTATTTACACGAGATATAGCCATCGTTGACCGCACGAACTATACGAGTGCTGATTATATATGTGTCGTCTATGGTGATTGGTGCGGCAAAGATAGTTTAGCTTATCAATGTGCGTTAAACACCTTGGAAAGATATCATTCTTGATTGCGGTGCAAAGTATGGTAGTAAGAGCCAGATGGCGCTAATTCAGTATTATTTAATATGCTAAATGGTAATTTATTTTTAGTTACACATTTCCATGATGATTTTGAATATTTTTATATGTTGTGATTACTATTACACAAGTATGTATATGTGTGATGCCAAATACAATGTTAAAATGTATAATTGTTTCTCAAATTAAAAGATACATAACAGTCTGCAACAAAAACACTTTTTTTGGTATATAACGTAGAATTGTTAAAAGATAAACTTCTATCGAATGGATATAATAATTATGAAATTAGTAAAGTCTTTAAATTATTTTATAATAAATTATTAGAAAGTAAATCATTTACAAACAACCTGAGTACAATTATTTCTAACTTAAAATATTAAATTAATGAGAGGTCGCTAGCATATAAAATCTTATCATTGTTGCGTCTCTGGTCGTTTGTTAATTTCTAGTATAAATTCTTTCCGAGGAACTTCAGCGATACAAGTCTTTTCTTAAATAAAACTAGTTTATTCTTTCTCAGTACAACTTTGCAATACACAGAATTTCCACGGTCACTTTAGCTTAAACACACGCTATAATTCACAACGATTCACGCACTTTACTTACGGTCACTAACGCTCACTTGACTCAATTATCTGTCTATCTGCAATTATTGTCTCCCTTTATTTGCCGGGCCTATATATTAAAATAGAGGGCGTTTGGCAAACACTCGAGCTTTCATGATTCTTCTAGAAACTCATCACGTATTACCAGCGTCACTTGACTTCGGCTGTCGTAACAGGGTGTTTTTATTCACAGAAAAATGTTATGTATGGAAAAATACAAAAGCGCTTGCATTAATCTTTTTATCATATTATCTGTCTTTCATTGCATAAGCTATAGAAATATTTTAAATTTAAATGTTGAAAAACGTTTTTTTAAAGGTTAATTTAACATAAGGTATGATTTATGAGAGGGTCCAATGAAATCCTTCTTGTGACCATTTTTGTGGTTCATATTCAATGTGGTTTTCGCTAGTGGTTAAAAGAAAATTAAATCATGATGGAAATCTGTACGTATTCGGTTTCGACTACATACCCGGTGTTTAGTGATATCCGGTTACCAATCTGCTATTCGAATACTTGCAGATTTTTTTCATAGCCAGTAGATAACACTTTAGGCTCGTTCCAGCCCTTCATCACCGTAACATAACCAGAAGATGGGTTTTATTGCCTGAATTACATTTTCATACTTTACATTTGTTGTGTACATAGAAAACAAGAAAAAGAAAAATTCAAAACAACAACTTTATATTTTGATGATTTGATAACAACTGTATTTTGAACTAACAAAAAAATCTTATGAAAAGCGTTGATTTTAAGATGGGACACTTTGTACGTTTAATGACGTTTATACGAATAACGAGATATTGAACATAATACGTTTTACGTCTGTCAGAAGCAGCTTCGACTGGTACGCCCCTACTGTCCCATTTTGTTTTACTAAAATACAAATTTCAATTGTTGTATTCAGACGCCTTTAAATATATTTTAACAAAATGTATGTTGGAATTCAACCGGCTTTCCTTTTAGATCGACACTTAAAAATAATTAATCACGTGATAAATATATTTCAATAATTTAATTGGGATCTCTTTTATTAGAGAGCGCGGGCTAGTTCTGTGATATATTTCTAGGTGTCGGAACCGGAGTTCGAATCCGTGCAATATCACAAAATACAACTGTGAGTACTTTATAAGAATGACACTCAAACCATAAATGTTGACTGTTCGCTAGTTCAAAAGTAGCAACTTTGCTATATATATACATACTTTTATAAGAAAGAAAAATACCACTTTCAAATGTCCGTTTTTGAATTTTATTACACTTTTACCTATATATATATATATATACTGTTTTCAAGCTTACATTGTTACGAATTGTAATCTTGTTTTAATAGTTATAATCCAATCGCCAAATTACAACAATTTTTATAACTAATCATCAAAACTGTCAGTAGTTAATATTACGAATTATGGCGCTAAGTGATTAATTATATTGATGCTTAACCTTTTAATAACACCATCTGATGTTGCTTGTTGCAAACAAATACTGCGAATTGTCGAGTCGATCATAAATCGCTCTGTCGCGAATATTGAAGTTGTCGTGAAAATTCAAATTTTCTAGCTGAATGGTACCATATGAGGTAATTGGACAGGTAATTTTAAAATAACAATCAGAGATCTTTGAACCGAATAACGGCATTGACGATTGCTATGTATTACAATTTCTAATAGCCTAAAACTGAGTTAAATTGTAATTTAGATTTAGTAGTTAAATAAATTCCGATATGTATCCAATTTACGATATTTGCCAACAAAATTGATGCACACAATTTTCTTTGTTTTATACAAATATGTTTTAATATACAAACATTAATACAATTTACAATAACAGTTATTACAAACAGCTACTACAAACAATGATTTATATACAAAAGTTTCACAAACTTACAAGCAGTACAAAGTCTTCTTTCTAATCTGGAACTTCCTTGATGTCTTATCGAGGATTCACGATGAGAGAGTTAATTTCGAGTTGACGTAGGTACAATTCACTTAATAGGGAGCTAGCTAGCTCTGTGGTCTTCACTGATCACACGCTGATTTCTCCTACCGATGACGTTTTCGTAAAAGTACTAATGTCCAATGGGAATCCTCTGAAGTTGAATGATTTGTAATGTTCGACTATAGCACACCATAGCGTTGGTTATATTTATAAGCGTGTGGAGAGTTTTATCGAAATTTCAGTTTACGTAACAATACTGACGCTAGCACTAGCGTTTACGTACACACATATATTGTTGATTCTTACACTCGAGAACATTCTACAACTTTAGAGAATAGGCGGGAGTTTCGCAATACATATTTAACAGTATAAGTTACATATATACAATTCTAAATATAAATTTAATTCAAACAAACATCGATATTAAAATAAATATATAATAATAAATCTGTCACACAGTTTCTTTTATAACGGAACCACAGCTGAATGTGCGGATCGTATTTAGAGGCATCACGTCTCGAACGCTGGACTTTTGAATCCGTACTTCGATATGTCAACCATTAAGCCACATTCTGCTCTAAGCTGTCGACAATTTTTAGGAATTTACACCCCACCCTCAAGTGTTGAATGTTATGGTTAAGTATTATTTTTAAGAAATGAGTATATACTCTTAATTAGTTTGATACTTTTACAGATTAATAGTTTTACGTTTTAATGGTCAAATTCTGTAGTCAACAGTTTTTGGTTTTAGACTAAATACATATTCGATACTGTAGTTCTATAATAAGGATCACAGAGAAGTTAAGTTAGTGTTCAAACATGTTTTGGCGTTTCTTCACCGAAGAAAATTAGTAATTTCTTGAAGAGTCTTCTCAAAATTGCCTTGTTTAATAAGGAAACATATTTTGTTACAATATATGTTTTCTCAGGAAACTGAAACATTGCCTTGTTTAATAAAACGTTATTAATCTTACTCAGAAATAAATTTAAATTTATACATATTGTTTTGAAAGAGTCAGAATGAACTTAATGTTTTCACAATGAAAGTCTGAGCAATGGTTTTTAATTTTCTCAAAAAAAGCAAGATCGTTTATTCTTATATTGGTTTTTTAAAGGTATTGTTGCAACTTTAAAAGTCTAATAAATTTTCGACAGGATAATGAACAACTCAAGGGTGTATTACAATGTCTATAGGTTAGTGTAAATCTCCACCAGGAAAGATCAGAGTTTGACATACTAGTGACGAAACAATACTGTTGAAAACAGAGAAATCGTTAGAACATTGTAATGCTAAATTTATGATAAAGCCCTCCTTTAAGGGCCTTTTTTTAGTTTTGTTAGAAAAAAATATTCATTTTTAAACTTTTAAAAATCATCGTCTCTAGTTTTTTTTGTATAATGAGTGTTATTTGATGATATCACTAAAGGAATCAAACCTATAATTCTATTGTTACAAGCCTTGAAGCTTACCATTAAGCTAATGGGAGATATAGTGTGGAGAAGTTTCAGGACCTTGTAGGAATACATTATTCAGGAAAAAAAAAAGAGAAAAAATGTTTTACGAAAAAGATTTGCCAATAAAATTATGTTTAGCAATGCTTCTGCTACTGCATTATTAACTATACTCTAGTTTAGCAATAAAATAAAACAAGAAATCCGATGTTAAAATCCTCTTGTAGAGACGTATTACTTACTTCCCTAGCATGCAAGGATCTACCTACTAGATGCGTCCCTTGGTTGTCTCGGTTACTTTATCTTAACACGTGATCATGATAACGGTATTAATGTGGTAATAAACAAAATCATGGGCGCCCGCAGGAAGGGGGGTTACTTGACCTCCCTGGATTTTCAAAAAAAAATTACTAGATATGTAAAATCATTATTGGAAAATCATAAGGTATTTGTATTTCGATTTCATAATTTTTTCAAACTTGAGTTACTTGACCCCCTAATTGTTTTTTCTGCAGACGCACTTGAACAAAATCATAATGTAGAGCTCGAGTTTTCTCGGAAAGTACTGTTACGTCTCCGTTCGTTAGTTAATTTTCCGTAAAAATTCTTCCCGAAGAAACTTTACCGATACAAGTCCTTTCTTAAATAAAACTGGTTTATTCTTTCTGAATACAACTTTGCGATACACTTAGTTTCAACAGTCGCTCTATAACAAACGCTATAATTCACAACGAACTTCTCACGTGCTCAACAATATTCTTACTCATTACCTTACGTTGCTTCTTAGCCGGTCGTATATATATACAAGACTACCCCAATCTAGTAGTCTCCCGACATTTCATGAAGGTTCGAGAAGGAAGTGGCGTGATACGAGCGTCACGTGACCTGCGTTGTCGTAACAGTACCAACTGAGCTTCGACGAGATAAATATGGGAAATGAACACCTGATAGTATTTTGTTATCAGTCGCAGCTTATCAGATGACGTAAGAATAAAATCGTAATTTGCTATTTTCAGATACTTCTTTCTTGGCATCTAAACAATACATTTCGGTTGAAGTACTAAAGAGGAAGCATACTTCTATAATATTATCTTATATATTATAACTCACTTTAGTCCAAAGAAATAGTATACATAAATCAAAATCCCCAAGTGGCACAGCGGTATGTCTGCAGACTTACAACGCTAGAATCCGGGTTTCTATACCCGTAGTGGGCAGAGCACAGATAGCCCATTGTGTAGCTTTGTGCTTAATTACAAACAAATATCAAAAAGATGGCGAGACATGTAGCGTCCCCTAGTGGGTCAGCGATAAGTTTACGGACTTACAACGCTAAAATATGGGGTTCGATTCCTCGTAAAGGTTTATTTGTTTTGAATTAAGCACAAAGTTACACGATGGGCTATCTATGCCCTGCCCACCAAGGGTATCAAAACCCGGTTTCTAGCGTTGTAAGTCCGCAGACATACCACTGTGCCATTGGGGGCGCCCTCGTAGAGGACAGAGTACAGATAGCTTATTGTGTAGTTTTGCTTTAAAACAGATGACTTAGTATGAAGAGAAATTCGCTAAGAACAACAAGTTTTGTCATAAGTTTTAAACGTATTTATATCAAATATATATCATGTTACAGTTTAAATTCCGTAAACTGGCGAATCATTAGAAGTTAATAGGCCTAATATTTGCGAAAAAAATCACTTAAAATGTTTAAGCATTTGTTTGAAATATCCGGTATTCATTAATTTACTTTATCTTTAATTCCCATTTTCAGAGATACTAATTTTACAATATATATACATTTTGTTTCGTTAGCTTTTGAACAAAACCAGAATATCCATCTGCTATTCAGATAAGCACTGCTATTCAGCTACCGCTTTAATCTTGTGATTAATGCAGAAAAAAAAAAACTGTCTCAAACGCCATCTGTCAGGTGCTGACACGGATGTATCTTGATACTGAGGGATTTTTTAAGTTGAGTTACCAAGATGTTGACTGGTTTGAGATTGATACACCAACAACAGAAACACAGACAATTCCTGTTGACATACGGAGTGGTCTGTTTGCTTAGTCATTGCATGTGAGTTTCAATGTTTTTTTGTTTTTTTTCATAAATAGCATAATGCATAAGCTTTATGTTTTAATTTTATTTCACCGGTAATTTTACAAGCTGTTCAAACACTATATTGTTATTGAGTTGTTTAGTAATCATTAACACTTTTCCTTCAAACTTGTGGTTTTTAAAAATATTTTACGTTACACGATTTTAATGGACATCTAAGTGACACACGTCTAGTGAAACACTACATAATTTATGCAATGATTTTACAGCAGTTCTCCAAACACAATATGTTATTTTATCTGTTCCATTGATATTTTAGTTTTATTGTTGACCGATGGGATCCATTCGGGTAGATCGTTAAATAGTTGTTTGATTCAAACATTTACTGTAACGTTGTTCTTTCGTTGACGAGTTCCTTTGAAGTGCCCCCCAGTGGCACAGCTGTATGTCTGCAGACTTACAACGCTAGAAACCGGGTTTCGATACCCGTGGTGGGCAGAGCACAGATATCCCTTGTGGAGCTTTGTGCATAATTAAAAACAAACAAACAAACAAAATCCTTTGAAGTATTTGGTGAAAATAATTCAAAGTCTAGTCCACGTTACGTTAACAAATTAGTTTATTTCTCCTTTAACATATTTACAAGCTCGAATACAGTGATAACTTGAAGGCCACGTTTATAGCTATAATGCACTATTTTAACATAAAAATAAACATATTTATATAATTTCATGGCTGATCGGTCAAGTAACTGAAAACAAACACTGACTGTTGACTATGGGCTGTTAACGTGTTGTCACCATGCCAACAATAGTTGCTCATTATAAGGTGTTAATATATTAATAATTAAATTAACAAATATATTGTTAAATGTTAACTGTGAGGTATTAATGCTTTTATAGTATGCTAATAGAGACATTGTTGCTAATTAAGGGGTGTTAATATGTTGACTGTATACTAACCAAGATACTGTTACTTATTAACTATGGAATGAGACTATTAGCATAGTATGATAAGAAAGATATCATTAGATGTTAACTTCACAGTGCTAATATGTTGAGTGTGTACTAACAGAGCTAGAGGCAGTTGGTGTTAGTATGATAACAGTGATACTGTTAGATGTTAACAGAATTATTTGTTGATAGTTTAGACATGAATACACACATTAAATGGGGTACCACTAGTCAACTACAACATCATATACATTTACAGCTATAATAAAAATACTCATATATAGCCTGTCACTATCTTTATCTTTGATCTATGTGTACTCCATGTCAGTCAAATTATTGGTGTTTCAAAAGTCATACAAATAAATTAAATTTTATAAGACACGTATACAGTTATTATGATATATGCGGAATCATATTTTTTACTTAACGAATAACATATATATATATTTGCTGAACAGAACTTCTGTTGTTTCACTTGGTCGCGACATAGCTGTGCCAGCAGAAGATTATAAAGAAAAATATAAAACAAATTTACGATTAGGGGATTGTCCTGAACGTGACGTCACATTTACAAATGGATCTACAGAACGGATTAAGTGGTAAGTTTTTATTTCAGTTATAAAATGTATACAAAGTATACTTGTAATGATAAAAAAAGTAAATAGTTTCAATAATTCACAACTTATCCTTGCAGAATATTCTAAAAAAAATACATGTAAATTTTGATTAATAGGATAAACTGCTTGAGTTATTTGAAAATCAGCTTGTAAAAAAAAAAAGGCGTATCAACTTTCTGGAAATATTGAGATAAAATGTGATAAAAATGCGTCAGGGCAAATATTAGGGTTAAGTGATTTTTGCTTTGTATAATCAGCGATAGTTTTGTTTAGAGCTCTTGTAAACACAGGTTTTTACCTAAATATATTTTAAAGACATCATAGTCTTCTGATGGTTGTTTTTGCTTGCATGAGGGGGTTTTCTTTACCTTCCTTTTTGTGTTTAAAGATACCTCAAGTTAGGTAGACATCTTGGAAAAATTTCTGTATGAATTCACCATTACTCGCATAGAGATCATACTATGTCACTCCTTAAGGTAGTGTACCATTACTGTAATACATACGCGTGACAATTTCTTGTTCTTCTCACATACTTGAAAGTAACTGATGGTTTTAATTAATTCAAAAGTGTTACATTTAAAAAGTTGCTATTATTTCTTCAAAAGGAGATCGAAGGCCGCCTGGAGGGGGTCACCTGTTTTAACCACTCGCACCACTATATAGTAATACGTTATTTGTCAGTCAGTCAGTAGGTACTAAAATGACGTCACATAAGGGACGCTTAACGTTGCAATTTGTACTGTCGTGACGTCAGTAAAACGTGTGCATGCCATGAATCACGAGAAAAATTACTTACTCTGTAGGCTACAACACAGCATGACATATGAACTTGAAAAGCAAGAAATAAAAATATTTGTTAATCTTAATTTTGGTTTTATTTACTCTTGAAACAGAACACTTTTGGGAACCCTGCAAAAGTACATCTAGTTGTATTTCAGAATCAGTTATTCAGTAGGCTTCTCACTAAACACTAACTGATATTGTGTTAAATCACGGCAATGTGAAGTTCACAGGCCGCGTCACTAAACACTGACTGATATTGTGGTTCCTTACTAAACACTGACTGATATTGTGTTAAATCACAGGCCGCGTCACTAAACACTGACTGATATTGTGGTTCCTCACTAAACACTAACTGATATTGTGTTAAATCACAGCAATGTGAAGTTCACAGGCCACGTCACTAAACACTGACTGATATTGTGCTGTGATTTAACACAATATCAGTTAGTGTTTAGTGAGGAACCACAATATCAGTTAGTGTTTAGTGAGGAACCAAGTGTGAAGTTCACAGGCCGAGAAGAATTTATTCCACAGTCGGAGTTTGAAGTGGAAGTGCGTCGTGTAGAGACGGTTGAAGATATTCTTACTCATGGAGCCGGAGCTATTGGACTCAGTGTGGGTGTGATGGGTCTTGTTGGGGTTAGTGTCAAGGTGAGTAGGTATAGCGTGAAATAACTGTTTCTTGTATTGAACTTGGCATCAACTGAACAGCAGCTTGTTGTGTGCCTTGGCTTATATTAATTGTTGGGTGTTACTGTTATTAATTACTGGATATTACTTATATTAATTGTTAGGTGTTACTGTTATTAATTATTGGATATTACTTATATTAATTGTTAGGTGTTACTGTTATTAATTATTGGATATTACTTATATTAATTGTTGGGTATTTGTTTTATTTTTTGTTTTTGAAGTTAAGCACAAAGCTACACAATTGGCTATCTGTATCGAAACCCGGATTCTAGCGTTGTAAGTCCGCAGACATACCGCTGTGTTACTGGGGGGGGGGGGCTTGTTGGGTATTACTGTCACTATTATTGGATACTAGCTGGAGTACCCGTCTGTTGAACAGGTGAAATATAAACCCGTTTGTAACAAAAGATAGGAAATTGTGCTTCTATTTTTATCTTAACATAATATACATTAAAAGTGCAATAAAATACATAAAGGTACCAACACTGAAAAGAAAGACATACTGTTTTCAAGGATTCTATCGATATGAAATTAGATGGGGGTCCAACTTTTGGCCTTCTTCATGCCATCCTGTATCACTGTGTCAAGTTTCATGCTGGTTGATCAAGAAATGTGGAAGCGTGTAAGCCTTGTAAGGAGCAGATACACACACATATTAACGTTTATTTATATAGATTACAGATATTAATTGTTGGGTATTAGTTATTAATTATTGGATATTACTTATATCAGTTGTTCGATATTACTGTTACTAATACTGGATATTACATTAACTGTCGGGTTTTACTTATATTAATACTAAACAGTTTCCTAGGGTACGTCACACCTACGTTTAGGCAATTCATAATAGGCTCATAATTAAGCATACTTTGTGTACCCTCTTCTCAAAAGTTTGTGTATTTAAAATTTAGACAATTGTTATGAAAATTAGATGGCTATTATGTTTTCTATTCTAGTTACAGTCATCAGGCAACATCAGAGCAAATTAAACTCTTTTAAAAATGTAATAAAAACGAAGTAAGAATGAGCACCAGAAGATGTGAAACAATCTTACCAACTGCATTGTTTTATGATATGTAAAATGAACAAGTTATTTTTACTGCACATATGGGTTATTATAATTGGGTAAAGTAATTTCATTCTGAACAGGTGAAGGTAGCTGTGACTAAGCAGACCACTCGGAAATCAGTAATGTGGATGTCAAAATATCGGTTACAAACTGGAGTTATTTCCCTGCGAGACGCAAGAGGGCCTCCTCTCCCAGATGACAGCCTGACTTCGCTATATCTGAGCGAGATCGTTGTGGGTGGGGAAGAGATACTGTTGGTTAGTATGGAGTTTAATGACGAGAAAACCAGAGTTGAAGTAGAAATCACGATCAAAATAAAGATACTGTTCTTCACCATTTCTGCCAAGATGAACTTTATCAAGGAAAATAGAAAGTCCACAGCTTCGGTGGAGGTGGGTTCTGTTAGTAAAGTTGAAAAGATCCTTTAGATTTGCGAAGAAAATATTTTTACCGAGAATCAGTCAGAGAAAACTTTTTTATGACATTATTTTGAATGTATAGGCTTTAAACATACATACTTTTTGTGTGTGTGGTAGTCACATCAAGTCAGTCTTGTATTACGGTAACGTTGTAAGCGAGAATCGTTTTATCGGTCTTGTAATACGTTAACGTTGTAAGAGAGAAATGTTTTTATCAGTCTTGTAATACGTTAACGTTGTAAGTGGGAAATGTTTTATTGGTCCTGTATTACGTTAACGTTGTAAGTGAGAAATGCTTTATCGGTTTTTATATTCCGTTAACGTTGTAAGAGAGAAATGCTTTATCGGTCTTGTATTACGTTAACGTTGTAGGTGAGAAATGTTTTCTCGGTTTTATATTCCGTTAACGTTGTAAGAGAGAAATATTTTATCAGTCTTGTATTACGTTAACGTTGTAAGTGGGAAATGTTTTATTGGTCCTGTATTACGTTAACGTTGTAAGAGAGAAATGTTTTATCGGTCTTGTATTACGTTAACGTTGTAAGTGAGAAATGTTTTATTGGTCCTGTATTAGGTTAACGTTTTAAGTGAGAAATGCTTTATCGGTCTTGTATTCCGTTAACGTTGTAAGAGAGAAATGTTTTATCGGTCTTGTATTACGTTAACGTTGTAAGTGAGAAATG